ATTTTCTGTGTTGCAGCTTGTTTGTTGCCCTATTCTGTCCCTGTCTACCTGTGAGAAGAGCTGGGTTCTATTTTGTCCATATCCTCCCTGATTTAAAGCAGAATTACTGAGTGAAGAGACGAGATATTGCAAGGGTTGTAAATGGAGAACTGCAAATAGCAAACTGTATAAAAACGTCGGTAGGCAAGCTATCTTGTGCTTTATTTCTATAAGCAAAAAATAAATAAAAATCCAAACCCTAGAATATGTAGGTATAGAACATAAAGTAATATTATAAAAATGGAAAAATATCCCTTTTCTGCATCTGAATCAGCATATTTTTATTTTAATTTACTCATTGACAGAGGACTTCTTTTTATACAGTGAAAGTGTTTTTTTAATGCAGTATTTTAGAAAAGGGCTAGTCTGGCACTAGCTACAGTTGCTAACAGCCTATAATGCTGGCTCTGTGTTTAGAAAATGATGGTAATTTATTACAAAGAGACTTTTATTCTAGTATTTTTAGCTCACAGCAGAGTGTTTAATGAATCTCTGCTTGGGCTCATTGAATTTATGTTCTCCCCTCCCCCTGCCCCATTTTAACCATTAAGATACTGCTATTCTCGCTTCAATTCTGAAAGCTGCACTTAGTCTTCTAAATAGCAAGCTTATTCACTAGGTGCTGTGCCCCAGTGCAAACAAGACCTGAAGCCTTTCTATAGGAGCCAGTAAAGACTTGTCGTGAATGCAGTCTCATGATCAGGAAAAACAGTGGAACAATTGAGGATGGCTGCTAAACTAAAGCTGATAATTCAGCCAAAATTCATTATATCTCTGGGTCCCCCACTGGAAATAGTACGTTAGTGAAAGCGGCCAGCCTCTTAAACTTACATCTGCCGTGAAGCACGGAAACACTGTTTTTATGTCCCTGAAGACTTAAACCTTGGCGGATAGGAAGCGAAGGAAGACAAATAGGTCAGATCCTGATGTTGGGTTTGACTGGAGCTAATGTATGTCATGAAGCGACTGAAAGCATGTCAGATTTGCAGTGCTCTGTGAGTGAGTCCATTCATTATTCCATGCTGCAGCAACACATGGCTTGCTAGGTCTTCCCAGAGAATTGTCTGCCTCCGGATTCAGACTAGTGTGCGAATGTGACAGGAGAGGGGGCAATCCTACACGAATGTACTCAGAAATCTGGAGCTTTCTTTCTGCCATCGCAATCTTTGCCTTCCGTGACTCAACTGAGTATTTAAGAACAAGAAGGCTTGTAGGAAACTGGGTTTTCATTCCTAAATAGAATTTAAAATAGTTCTTCAGTTTAAATGTCATCTCTTTCCGCTCCCTTGAAACAGTTACACATGAGGGTATTGTGCAAGTTACCTTCCATGATCTTTCTCCTGGCTCCAGAGGAACCAGTTGTAAGAACAAAACAGTATTGTTCATGACTTCTTCCTTTTCCAGTTTCTTATTTTGAGACTGCAAGACGCTAACTGGTACCCATCGTGTTTTTGTCCTAACAGCAAAGTTGTGCTCAATGAGCAGTACCTCTTACCAACTCGAGTAATGCCTTTCTGAAACAGTTTTCTCTGTGTGCCAGTTGCTTTGCTCACAAGATCTGCTCAGTTATGTAACACAGGACTGTTCACAGAGAGGGGTTTTCAGGCTTTAGTCTCTTCTCTGTAGTCAAAGCAGAGATCTTGAGGTGAAATTTTTTTGGTTTACCAGTTACGTGATTTTGAAAGAATATAGGATGGGGTGGGATCTTGTAGTTAGCACCTTATTCCTCATCAGTGTTTAAGGGTATGGAAAGACTTTCAGCATACTTTCAGAGTAGTCTGTTCTGAGACTACATCAATGAAGCCCAATCCACTGATGGCCTGAGATGCTGCTGCAAAAGTAATGGTCGTGGCAAAAAGCTGACTTAGAAGTGTTCAGTTCAAGTGGCCAGTTGCTCAGTTGTACACTGGCTCTACAGCACCTAGTTGACTTTTTAATATATTCAATCAGCCTTTCCTCACACTTGGAAGAATTCTACTGTAGTACGCTAGAAATAAAAATCAGGGAGGTCGTTCTGTAACAGGAAAAGGCCCATTCTGTAACGCTGAGTTGATAGGGAAGAACCACTGAGTATTTCCTTCCATAAGTTCTTACGTACTACATCCAGCTTTAAAAGATCTGCTTGCCCACTTTGTTTCAGCAATGGGGATGTTATCCATGGCCTAGAAGACTCCTCTCCAGTAAGTTTTATTTTCAGACATAAAGTTTTGTTCAGAGTAGTCTTTGGAACCTTGTTAGAAGAATACGATCAGCATTTATTTCCTTTGAGGGGGGAAAAAGAAGTCTCTTCCTTTTGGGTATGGTACATTAGGGAGATCATAATGTGTGAGAAAAAGCGTGTACAACACTGCATTTTTTAGGGGCTCTGAATTTGCTACGTGCTTGAACTGAAGTTTCTGGGTGTTAATGGTTGTAAAAGTGATGTGTGCATCTCATAAAGGTTCTGAGACATGTTTAAAAAATCAAGTTCAAACATTAAAGCCATGCTTCTGAAAACGTAGAAGCAAGCTGTTTTACAAGTGGTAGCTCTAGACTTCTATTTCTTGAACCTTCATTAAGTCAAATAAGAAGTGGGTTTGCATCATGTGTGCTGCTCCCAAAATAAACTTGTCTGGATTTATTTAACAACAGCAACAAAAGTATTACAGAGGAGCTGAGCAGTAGATGCTGGACACTTTTTCTTGTATTAAGACTTTCTAGTTAACATGTACTGCTGCAGTCTGTCACATGAAACTGTTGGCTTCTTTTTTGGTTTCTGCTCAGTCATGTCTTAAGAGGTTGCTGGCCACCTGTTCAGGTGATGCTTTAAAGTAGAGTCTCCCTTAATTGTTCATGTGTAATTAGTTTTGAAGAGGATCAGAAGCTGACTAGGAGATGTATTTTTCTATCCTATTTTTTTTTTTTAGCTTTCCATGACAACGTTCACTTGGATGATGAGAGGGAAGTTATGCCAAGCCTTTTTTGTCCTAATGGCAAAGCTTAGTTATTTTTGATGCCTGCCTTCCCCCCTTCTCTGGGTGAACTGATTAGCTCTTATTTCAAACGTCATAGTGTAGGGTGGGTGTTACTCAAATCTTTTTTCTTTTACAATGTCATGGTATTTACTACTCCCATGCAATTTTCTCATAGGTGGTGGTACAGATTTCATAGCAGTTTTTATCATTTTTTAAATGCCAATTCAAAGAACAACCTTCGTGCACCTTAACAAAAAAATCAAGTGGGACAATCTCTACTTCATGGTGTTATGTCTACAGGCATGAATAGAAGTTTTAAGGCCAAATTTCATATTTTTTTATTTTTGTTTGGTTTTCAATTTTATGCTTTTAGGGGCAAAACTTTGGGCTTTACCTGCAACAGGTAAAAACAAGCAGTCAGAACATGCTTGTGATAACATCACATGCTAAACAGAAGGACAGGCTTTGCTTACTTTCTTATTTCAGGCAACTTTAAAATCCATAGTATTGAGACTTTAGAGCAAAGCAGAAAAAAAGAATTGGAGAGAAGAATGAAGGATGAAAAGAAAGGTTTCAGTTCAGTCCCCTGGCTGTGTTGTGTGGTCATCACAGCTAAAGTTTGAAGGACAGTAAGATGTCCTCAAGTGTATTTGCGTGAAGCTCTCCTAAATACATGGGGCAGCAAGAAGGCATGAAGGAACATATGAATTTTAAGATAACATTGTGGGCTGACTGCAGGTGTGGATCAACATACCCATGCTGAATAAGAATCTGATGGTTTGAGAAGGGTTATTGAGGGCCAAGCTTCTCTGTGGTGAAACAAAGAACTGAGAGGGTAGGGATCGGGTCAGTAAAAGTATCTTCTGAGCAAATGTGAGCAGGATGTCAGACTGCTGCATCCTTTTCTCTGTAAGGGTATATATGAGGGGTAGATAACATCTGCACAGTGATGTCTTTTCCGCTTAATATCTACTTCTAGGTAGAAGTAAACAGAGATACTACATTGTATTTGTGATCAATGTTGATGAGAGATTACAAGAAATGTTATGTGGGCCAAAAATGTTCATTTGAGCAGAAGGCAGAATATTAACAATCAGTACTGAAAGTACGGAACTAAAAAGCTGAATGGTTTTCTGAGTCAGTATGAAAACTTATCTGGAAGAACCAAGGGAACAGCCTTGTTTCTGTTAAAGGCAAGCTCAAACAGGCTGGCATCAGCTTTGTTCTTTATGAAGCATGTGCTGTGTTGGGTAGGTGCTGCAGGAAGGTTGGAGATGTGTTGGGCGGGTCAGAATCTGGAAGTGTTACTAATGAGAAGCTATACAGAATACTAGTGGGAACTGCTCCTCGGAGCAAAAGGAGGACCAAAAGTTGTATTCCGAAAGGCCATTCTCAGTAAGAATTACTGGCAATTCCTACAGGACATCTGGTTCAAACAGCTGCTTGTATCACTTCTGTCTGGTTAAACAGAGATCACATGGCATGTCCCAGACTTGTACGGTGCACTCGATATACAGTTGTCATACAAATTCCTCCAACCTGCAGATCCAGACCATTTTTGGAAAGCTCTGAATCACATGCGTTCCATGAAAACTTCTACCTCTTTGGTTATAATGTGCTAGTCTTGTTTTTTCTTTAAATTTAATACCTGTCAGGCTCTATTTCTTGATAGATGAACCAACGATGATAAGAGAAGCTATATACCATTTATAGTAAAAACTAGCATGAAGGAAAACTGGATGTTTATCAAGGCTGTATGGGAATTTTCTAAATGTACTTGTATTTTTTTGTGCTCTTGTAGTTGTTGCAGGCAATTCAGCCAGAACTGATGTGCCTTTATATGTGTGATCTGTTTAAAATTATTTCAGGCAAACCCAAAATTTAGAAAAGCACCAGGTAGAAAATATTCTATCTACTCTGTCAGATCAGGAAGAAGAAAAGATAAACGTGCAGGTTTGTATAATTGACGTATTTCAGTGCCTCTTACATGTCACTTTGTTTTTACAGGAAATAATGAAAAAAGCGTGCCACAACTCTTGATCAGAGACCTGAAATTTGAGAAGAAGTCATTAGCTAAGCTCATGTTTTCTCCTGATCAAGAAAATCATCCATCAAAAGCACCAGTGAAGTATGGTGAATTGATCGTATTAGGGTAAGTGTTTGTGTGTGTGTGTTGGCAGTGAGAATGAAGGTAGAATTTCAGAGTGCACTTAGAGCAGTTAAACTGCAGGTAGCTGTGAGAGGTGGTCACGCTGACTCTCATTCGAACTCCTTTTGCATTGTATCTAGCAAGCATACAGCTGAAAGTGAGTTGTTCAGCTTTTCTTTGGTAGCTGATCTTATTTAAGGAAGGGGCTAGACTGCCTGGCTGAGGGAAGAGGTAGGAGCATGGTTATCTTTTTCAGCAGCAACCAGGTGACGCACGTAATGTGATATGTTGGAAAACTGCACTGCTGTCTGCGTACCTTTTTGTGAGCATGGAGGCAGGGCTGTAAATGGCAGAGTCAGATGTAAGTTTATTTTCAACTCTTGTGTTCATCCCAGGTAATTGTTTCGTGACAAAGGGAGCCACTTTGTGAATTGCTTCCAGGTTGGGCCTAGGCAGATGACTAGTACGATAGTGTTTAAGAACGTGGTAGCTGACTCTAATACCCAAGTTCAAACAGAAAACACTAAGAAAGCAGATTTGCTGGCTGGTCTGTTTATGTTGACATGCTCAAAGTGAGAGTCTGGGGGTTTTCTGATGGATTAAATTGAAGTCTCAGAGGACAGCATATCTATTTTTTCTGGGTTTTCATTTCAACTAAAATTCTCTGAAATGGTAGTTCTCCACCTGGTTTGGTGAGTATTTATAGTCTTTCATTTACAGTGTGAACACACAATTTAGAGATAAAACTACAGATAAGCATATAACCTTACTTGTGTTCTTCTTTGTAGCCCAAGTCTCTTCTGCTTGTTGATAGTAGCTTTGAGATTAATCTAGATAGTATTCTTTGGGCGTATATGCTGTAGTTCTGTGGGCATGTTTCAATATTGTTTACCAATTCTTAGATTTCAATAGATGCAACTAATAGGAAGTATGTAACTTTTCAATATTGTACTGATTACGAAGGCTTTGTACTTGGAATTTTTTTTCGTGGGGGGTCTGTACCTTGTGAGAAGCTAGGTAACACAGGAAGATGGACTTTATTCTTTTTCTGTCCTTTTTGATAGGTACAATGGGTCTCTCCCAAATGGAGATAGAGGAAGAAGAAAAAGTAGGTTTGCTTTATTTAAAAGGCCCAAGGCAAATGGGGTGAAACCTAGCACTGTGCATATTGCCTGTACCCCTCAAGCAGCAAAGGTAAGCTTGATTTGTGTAGTTCAGTCTTACTTCTCTTGGTGCTGTCTAAAAAGTGCAGGTGCAGTGAAATCAATGCTGTTATGCTGAGATGAAGTTATGTAAAAAGCGTTAAGTTCTGGCTGTGAAAAGAATGGTTCCTATTTATTCAAGGATTTTTGGTAACAGTCAGGGTTAGCAAGAAACCATTCAGCAAAACAAATCCAGTGCCCAGCCCTTGTCATGTCCAGAAAAGAAAATGTTTGGTTTTTGAAACATAGATTTTCAAGGGTACAGGTTAGTCATGTAAAACACTTTTTTTTTTTCCTTCCAAATTTGCTACAAACATCTGTTCTAGACTTCCTGTTTTCACATTCATTCATGCTTTAGGACTAAGCTTGCTTCACTTGAAGCTGACTTTGAAATAGTTTTATCAAAGCTGCCTGCTCTTGCTACTCAGCCCAGTGGGTAGGAGTTCTCCAGAGATGAGTACAGCTGGGTTTGGCAGGGCACGTTTTGTATGGCTGGTAATCAAATTCAGGGTTCCCAGTAAGAAGCAATGAAGGAAGGGTTTAAATCTTGAAGCTGAGTTGTATTTCATGTCAAAGCTAAGGCTATTGTAGGTAAGGTGTTACTATGAAATACTTCTTTATTGTAGCGATTCATGTGTGTGCAATAATATTCAGTAAAAAGTGGGTCACTTCTACTAAAACCAATGGAATTCAAAAATGTCTAGGCCCTTCAACAAATACAGTACTGTTAAGTGTTTGACTCTCTAAATACTCAGACACCTAGGAATATTGATTTCTAAACTCAGGAAATGGTATAAATATTTTCAAATCATGCATTTTGTTGACTGAAGTTACTCTAGCATTATGTACTTAACATTACACCTGTAGGACATCTGTGAAAAGAACGCTAACTTTTGTTAATTCTTTATGGTATTCAAATAATAAGTGCTATTTAGAAGCACTTTATAAGGGGTTTTTTGTTCAGTTCCTAGCAGGTGGATTTAGTTTCACATGTGAGGCACGGCATAAGTCTCTAGAATGAAAATTGAGATTAACTTTGCTGCAACTTGTGCAACCTGTGCTGAGTTTCTCCCTATTGCCCTGTTGACCAGCACTGCTTGTTACATTTTTGTCCACGTAGCTTATCAATCAGTGATTTGGGTATGTACTCAGATCTTTCCTTTAGAATTAAGTCCCTAAGTTTTTGTTGTCATTTTGCTGTTGAGAAGTTCGGGCTGAGAAGGCTACGAAGGTGTTCCAATCAGTTTTAGCCTTTGCCCTGGGTTGTTTTATTCTTTGTGTCAAGGCCAGCTGTGCTTTAATACCAAGCATGACTAATCATCTGCCTTGGTTACGTGTACTTTGTTGCAGCGTGCGGTAAAGAGACCAGTTCGGTCTGTTGCTGAATCAATCGTGCAGCCTTTTTTAATGGCCAGGACTGGTTTTGGTGAAGTTTAACTACAGGTGTGTCACTAATGAGCATCTGACTTAATGTGTTCATTGAGCAGAACAAGAGCCTGGTTATGCTGTCTGCTTCGCTGCTGTGTTAAGTAGATCTGTTGTTCACTGGTTCAATAATTTGTGTTTTCTTTTCCCATAGGCAATAAGTAATAAGGACCAACACAGCATCTCTTACACTTTGTCTCGGGCCCAGACAGTAGTAGTTGAATATACCCATGACAGCAACACGGATATGTTCCAGGTATGTGAAGTAAATGACATCCGAAAGTATTTGCGCTGGTGGTGGTTTCTAATGAGACATTCTCTGAACACGCTTTTCTCAGATGCAAAAGTTCACGTGTCACTTTCTGCACTTCACTTTTCGTAGATGTTTAATTCTGTTCCTTTCCAAGGCCGTCACATGAACAAAGCTGCATATCTGTGCATCTCTTCTTAGGCGTACTTGGTCAGACGAAAGCTGTTTTTGTGACTAATGTACAGGATTATGGTTTTGTCTTTGACTGCAAGTCTCTGAACCTGTCTCTAGTCCCTCCTTGCAAAATGAATAATAAAGTACACAGTTCTCTGAAGTATTTGGAGCTTTGCTTCCGGCATTTATGAAGGGATTTGGGATCAGCCAGTAGGATACAGGGTAGAAGAAATGCAATGTGAAAATATAGAAAAACTTTTAACATAGCTGATATGACCCCCTGACTCCTTTAAGCAAACCCAGAAATAGGTTAAAGGTGTTGGTAATACTGAGAGAGGAGGCCCAGTTCAGATGTGCTGTCACTTCAGAAGAACTTTGCTGGAGTTCCTGTATGTAAGCAAAGGAACCACAAATACACGTACAGCTGTGATGTTCACTCATATCTTGTACTTATTATTTCCTGTTTTTCTCAAAAGGAAGGGTTTTGTTATGGGTTTTCTTGTGTTTTCTTTCTTCTGATTCCTGGACTGATGCTGCATTGATTTTTCATTATACCTAATTTATGGAAAGGAATTTTGCTGTCACAGCATTTAGCTGTGACGACATGGCAGGATTTCAGGAGCTAGGAGGTGTTGGTATGTGGTGAGGAAGCTGCTGTGCAACTGCAGATATCTACAGCAGAGCAAAAGGGCTGTAACAAACTAACTGCAGCGTAAGCTATTGCTTGTGTAAGTGTTCTCTCTTCAGGCAAGCTATGGCATGTATGCTGCTCTAAAACTGCCAGTGGCAATCCATGTGTACTGATGGGTTATCCTGCCTAAGAAAAAAAAAAAAAAACGCAGAAAAACATATTCTGACAAAGCAGTTTCAGTCTCATGAGAGCTCTCTAGCCTTCACCAAAAACCACCTCAGGCCCTGGTTCTTCTTCCTAGCAGTTAATCAGTCTTAATATGTTAAAACATCTATGTTTTAAGAGCTTATTGAGAGCTCTGGAAATGAGTGAAAGGTAAAAATATACAAGTGTGCTTTAAACCTGGCTGTGAGGATGTTTGGGACAGGGATTTAACTTCTCCTTATTTTGTAAAGAGAAGGTCAAGATGACTGGAAAAGCAGTCAAACGCATGCAACTTTATTAGAACCAGTGGAGTTGCACGGGACTGCAAAGCTCGTTCTCTTCCATACAACCAGAAAAGAAGGCACAGCTATTTTGCAGCCTGTTATTTCTAATAACATCTTAACAAGAATGCAACATTTGCTTACAACCAGATTTTTTTGTGTGTTGTGCGTATCAATGTAACACCACTCTCACCCCTGCTGCAAGCATCTTGTACCTGGTCTGTCCTGACAGATGTGCTGTTTCTCGGTGCCCCACAGGAGCTGGAAAGTCAGCTCCTGTAATCTCTGGACAGTCTTTCCCTAGTCTGGTGTTGCTCAGAATATTCTGGGCATGCAAAGTGACTGAATACCACTTTTTTTTCCTATCTAACTGCTGTTCCCAGCTGTTTCGGCACTGCTGCAGCCGGTCCAGCTGACCTCATTCTAACCTTTCTGATGAGAAGACCTTCAATGGGAAATCTTCTCAAAATTGACTTAATTACATCTTTTTATTTCTCCTTCCTTTGCTTGGCTGTACTCAGCCTTCAGAATAACTTTGATCACATGGAGGTGGAATAACTCATCAATTCAGATTAGGCTTTAGAAAACTAAATTTAGATTGGTGGAGGGAAATGCTTCAGACTGGAATGTCATGATGTTTTCTTGATCATTTTTAAATGCTCTAGGCTTGAACATTACTAGACCCAGAGGCAAACTTCTAAACATATTTTGTATCCCTTTTTGCAGATTGGTCGATCAACAGAGAGTCCTATAGACTTCGTTGTGACAGATACGGTTCCTGGAAGTCAGAGTAATTCGGATACGCAGTCTGTGCAGAGCACTATATCAAGGTTTGCCTGCAGAATCATATGTGAACGTAACCCTCCTTTTACTGCGAGAATATATGCTGCAGGATTTGACTCCTCGAAGAACATCTTCCTTGGGGTAAGGGAACTCTTTGTTCTCCCAGATCAATGCAGGACTTGTTTTACAACTAATTTGTATCTCTGCTTGAGCAAAATAAGAAGTTGTCATTGTTGTCGTTTTTCTTAGGAGAAGGCTGCAAAGTGGAAGACGTCGGATGGGCAAATGGATGGACTAACCACAAATGGAGTTCTTGTTATGCATCCCCGAAATGGATTTACAGAGGACTCCAAGCCAGGGGTGTGGAGAGAGATATCTGTGTGTGGGAACGTGTTCAGCCTCCGTGAAACCAGATCGGCTCAGCAGAGGGGAAAAATGGTAAGAGTGAGGACCAACATTTTGTGTATCATGTTTAAAATGGCTACAGCCACCAGTGGTACAGCTTGGGCATAAACAGAGGCCAGAATCTGCCTCATTCAGTGCATTTGTCACCTCTGTAATTAACTGCACCAACTTAAGCATCTGTGTTTGTAGATGAAAGGTTCTTGCTCAACCTGAATAACTGACAGGTTGTCTCCGTAGCATTTAACTGCAGATCTAGGCTGCTCTCCTAAATTGAGTTGCCGGTCTAGTATGCTCTTCTGAAAGATGTGATAGTTACGTGGAGGACTTAAAGAATGTTTTCCTGATTCTACCTTTTGAGTTTATGCTTTTAAAGTTCTCCCATTTTTACTTTTTAAAAGAATAACTAGTTTTATTAACACCTGGATATCCATCTCTCTGTTGGTATCCTGAGTTTTCCCCTTCCTCTTGTTTCCAAAGCACTGGTGACGCTTTGAGGAGATGATTCATTTTGGTATGACTTGGGGTCTCTTAGCAAAAGGAAACGCAGCAGGAATACTTACTTACCGGTGCAGTTAGCTAGGAATGCCAGGAGCTCATTTCTCTTCGGGAGAAGAAAGCCTTGTGTAGAGGGGTGTGTGTGTGAATAAAATACTCTACAGTACGGAGGGGAACTCAACAGGCCTTGTGCTGTGCCATTCTTCCTTGATGCATTTCACATAGCATATCTGGCAGTGTTATAGGGAAGGAGCTGAGAAGAGAAATTAAGGTTGGATGGGATCTCTTCATGGTCTTAATCTTCCTTACGTCAATCTCCTCAGAAGTTTTATTTAAAAGAGGAAGGAGATGGCACTGAGTTCTGTGGCTGTCTTCTACGGCACACTTGGTAGTTGCTTGAAACTGGATCTTCCAGGCAAATTTGTATTATGAAAGTGCCATATGTTACTCTTCAGATAATGTCAGGTGGCACCTCTTTCTCTTCCTCTGTCCATCACAAGGTTGAAAACGAAACGAACCAGCTCCAGGATGGCTCTCTAATCGACCTGTGTGGAGCAACGTTGCTGTGGCGCACCGCGGAGGGCCTTTCACGCACTCCCACTGTCAAGCACCTGGAGGCGCTGAGACAGGAAATAAACGCAGCGAGGCCCCAGTGTCCCGTGGGGTTTAACACCTTGGCGTTTCCCAGCATGAAGAGAAAAGATGTTGTAGACGAAAAGCAGCCGTGGGTGTACCTGAACTGTGGCCACGTCCACTGGCTATCACAACTGGGGCAACAAAGAGGAGAGAGACGGCAAGGATCGCGAGTGTCCCATGTGCCGCTCTGTCGGCCCCTACGTGCCTCTGTGGCTTGGATGTGAAGCTGGGTTTTATGTGGATGCAGGACCTCCAACGCACGCCTTCAGCCCGTGTGGACACGTGTGCTCAGAAAAGACAACTGCTTATTGGTCCCAAATTCCTCTTCCTCATGGTACTCACACTTTTCATGCAGCCTGTCCGTTCTGCGCGCATCAGCTGGCTGGTGAGCAAGGCTACATCAGACTCATTTTCCAAGGACCTCTCGACTAACACACGTGTAACCGAGGACTGCAGTAATCTAATAAGCTAAGCGATTCTGATTTTTAAACCAACTGTTTTTCGTATTCTCTGGGCTTTGCTGGTTTGCATTACGATGAAGAATTTTTTGGTTTTTTGTTATGACAGCTAAATCCCTCTCTATTGAGAAAAGTCTGGAAATGGAAGAAACAGGGGTAGGAGGGGAGAAGTCCTGCTTCTTTAGTTAATAACTGCTTCTGAAGAGCTGAAAGAAGTGTTACAGAGTGAATTTAAATGCCTTCCGTTCAATGGTTTTGAATCACATGCCCACAGTGTTTGAAAGTTGTTTCTTTCTTTTTGTATATGGAGGGTAAATAGTTCAAAAAAAAACATTAGTTTACAGCTTGGATGCAAACATTGTAAAATATAATGTGTATATTAACTCTTTTCTATTTATCTTTATTATTGAAAATATGTAGGATGTGTAGAGTAGCACGGTCATAGTGTGTTACATCCAGCAGTTGGATGTGTAGAGTAGCTCTGGATGGAGAAGGATGTGAGATGGAAATGGTAGAAAAATCTTTTTTAATCTACAGTACTGAGTTCTTAGAATAGTTAAAATGCTTTTTAAACAAAGCTAATGCAAATTATGATGGCATAAAGGTGTGCTTTAACCATGTGAAAGGTAGCTAAGAAGGACTTCTTAAAATGTCTTTTTGGTAGGACTGTACTTACGATCTGATTATGAAGAAGATATTTACCAGACTCTTTGAATATGCAACTTAGTCTAGATTAAGGGTTTTTTCCTCCCTTCATGCTAACACATCTTTATTTAGCATTAGTGACATTTGTGAGGGTTTTCCGATGTTTAACCATTAACAAACCTGAAAGATGAGGCTCGCTTTGTTCCTTGCTGGTTGGGGAGGTGGGGAGAGGTGGATGTGCCCTGTGCCGTGTGTGTGGGGAGCAGTTTGTGGATCGGCCAGGGCAATTTCACAGCTTTGCAAGGCTTGTCAGTCGCACCTCCTGCCTTCATCTGGCTTGCTGCAAACTGGCACAGGGGAGCCACAGGCTTCACGTGCTTGCCTTTACGCTGCTCCAAGGAAAGAGCTGGGTGCGGACGCTCACCTCGGCCTCCCCTGGAACAAAGCAGAAGCCCGGTACCTCCTGGATGCGGCCCTGCATCCTGGCACCTCCGTGCACTTGACACAATTGGCAATCTGTTAGGGAAGAGCTGGAGCTGGGCCTAGGCTGGACTCGGGGTGGCAGGCTCTGGCTGGTGGTCTCTGGCTCTCCTTTCCCTGCCCTTCCTTTCCCTTCTGTATCCACCAGAAAAGGCCAGTGCACTACATCCAGCTTTGCTGCTAACCCACTGTGCTTTATGGCAAATACACAATCTGACTTTTTTTTTTTAGGATTGAGTTGAGCTTTTTTTGGGCCAGCTTCATACTTTTTTTTTAATATGTACTGTATAATTGACAGTAGCAAATTTCTGTACTTTATAGCGTAGCTTTAATTTTCCTTTTCAAAGCTGTTCTAAACTTCTTGGTTTAAAAAGAGACCTATGTTGCTTAGATGTCATGAATTATTTGCTTTGACTGTCAATTGTTTCTCCATTTTTAAAAAGAAATTATGTATATTGTTTGGTTCACTCAGGAAATGCATGTGTCAGGAAATCTGTATTATAATTTCAGTTAGCTGTCATGTACAAGTAACTGCTGTTACTCCCTTTTCATAGAAATATAACTGATTTTGACATTTTCCAGATTATATGCATTAAGTAATGAAACTTATGCAGCAAGAAACCCCTGTATTGTAGTTGTTCTAATCATTTTATTCAAACTATATTATACTGTAGTTTAATTTTTATTTGCAAATTAATTTATTCAAACTATGTGAGTAAACACTTTTCAAAAATAGAGATTCTGGGATTGTCTGTTGCTTTGTTCCCAAAAGATGGGAGAGGTGGCTGGAGATGACTCTTCCATCGCTTGAGGTGTGTTCTGCACACGTGGATTAAGTTCACAAAAATTAACTGGAGAGTTTGCTTGTTGTCCTGCTCATTGGATGTGACAGTTTACCATCTTTTCTGTTTAACTCTACACTAGCAAAGGCAAAAGGCGGTTGTTCAAATGGATGTCATTAAATGATTTTTTCCCTGGGTAGGTTACAATTAATGAAATGTAAGCAAAAGCTTCAGCCAGATGGCTGGACTCTTACAAAACTTCATGGGCTCTTGATTTCATCGTCCACACAATCAGCTTGACACATCTTCTCTGCTTGTGATCTTGCTGAATGCAGGGATGTGAAAAGCCAGGAAAGGAAATGATGAAAGCTACAAAGCAGGATGAGTAATGTAGAGATGAACGGTGAAAACAGATGAGAATTGGACTGTAGTAAGCACCAAAAGCAGCGTACGCAGCCTGAGTTGGAGGCACAGCATGGAGCCAGCGGTGCTGTGGTGGTTGGGAACACAAACCTTCAGCTGGAGAGGGAAAGAAGGGCAGTTTGTGCCCAACACTAAGCATGCACCCTATTAGATGATTTCGTGCTTCCATTATACTTCACCCCTTCCCTAAAAAAAGGGAGACTACAGAAGATGGCGTGGTCTCAGCAGAGCCAGCTGTTCCCCTGGGTAGCGTTATGCTAAGGTGTCGCTACCCAGAGCCCTGTGCTCTGCCACATGCTGCCTGTTGTATGTTTTCCCTGACCCAAGGTGGGCTTGTTAATCCTGCCTTTAAATGGGCAGAACGCGGGTGTTCAGAAGCCTGAGACACGGAAACCCCACTGTCGAAAGCAGGACAGCAGCGGTTGAGTAGGCTGAGGAACAATTTCCATAATACATGCAAGCTAACTAAAAGCAGTGGCTTTGACTGTGCTTCCCTATTGGAGCTCCCCTCTGGGCTTCTGTTCTTTAATAAACAATTTAAACAGAAGGTCTTATGCTCTATAAACTCCAAAATGAGTGCCAGATTAGAAGTAAAATCATCCCTTTAACGCAAACAACTGACTAAATCACCTTGAACTTTAAGGCCTTTTGTTCTGGACAGATGCGGAGCTGAGAGAAGTGCGAGGGGATGAGCCGCTGCTGGCTGTGAGATGATTACAGCTCTGCTTGCTTAGCCAAAACCAGGCCCTTGTACTCAATAACCAGCCCCAAATGAAATCTGTGGCCTTAACCCGCTTTCGGAGACAGTGCTCAAATGGGAAGAGGCGTCGACGATGCAACTGGCAAATGGGATGTGACTGTTCCCTGGGTGATCGCTGCAGCTGTGTGGCTGCTGGTGGAGGAATGCCCGTGGAAAGGAGGTGAATGCAGGCCTTTCTCTGGCCTTGGAGCTTTGTGGAAATCTGCAGAAGTGCAACTGGAAAGCGGCAAGTAGCTCTCTGCAGTTGGTTTGTGCAGCAGCGCTGTGCTCTGCGCAGTTGTTTGTGCGCTGTGTAACGTGGGTTACCTAACGAGCTGGTTTGCTTTCAGCTGTAGGAAGTTGCACAGGATTTAATATGGTAAAAGGCAGCAGCTTGGTGCAGCAGCTGGCCACGGAAGGCCTTTTGTTTCCAAAGCAGAAGCGGGGCAGCCCTCGGCGCGTTGACTCAGGGCAGGGAGAAGCACAGTGGCTGGGAGGTGGCCGGGGGCTTTCCCTGGGAAGGCTGCGCGTAGTCGGGCACCTCCGGAGCGCTGTTCCCTCGGCTGACTCAGCCAGCAGTTTCGAGCAGCACCACGGGTGCGTGGTGTGGCCGAGACACGTGGTGTGGGCTGGGGAGGAGGTTTTCTAATCCCGTCTGCGCCAGGCTTGTTATACCTGCAGGAATGAGGCCTGCCTCCCGAACGGTTTCACCATGTGAAGTCACCCTGGCGGTCCTGCTGCACTTGAAGGTGCTCTGTAAATCTCATTCATGACCCTCCTGTGGCGTGCTTTCTCCCTTTCCAAACAGAGAGGTGCTTTCCAGGTCCGATTCTAGCAGTAGTGTTTGCAATATAAAGCTATTGGGATGCCTGCAGTTATCTGCCTGCACTCCGTCTTTCAAAATGGATTAAGCGCGGCTGCTGTTGAATTTCCTGGCAGATTTCCTGGCCGTAGTCTTAGCTTGTGCAATCCCTGCTTCATTTTCTGTTATAAAAACAAAAAAAAAAAGGAGAAAGTTCTCTAGTTTCAATAGTAGCACTTAGCTTTAACATAAGGGCCGTGATCACCCTGGAAATGCGGCTTTGAAGGCTCTTTTGTGGCTGGAGGAGATCGCTTAGACACACAGCCCTGCATCCTGTGAAAGATCTGCAGGAGCAGCGAGTGCTGGGGGCTCATCGGGGAGATGTCTGCTGGAGCCAGCAGCGAGCCTGCCCCTTCCTGCTGCCCTTCCCAGGTGGCAGCAAGAGCTTGGGCCCTGGTTCCTTGTCCTTGCTGCGAACAGCAGCGCGTGGAACCAGCTTCCGAGGCGGTATCCCATGGAAACAGACCCAGCCACTCGAGCTGAGCTGGGGAAACGCTGCCTGTGCTCGTTGTGCAAGAAGCAACCCGGTGCTCCAGGCGAGCTGGGTAGCAGCAAAGCTCTCGGAGGCGGCTGGGGATGCGCATTTGTACCCTAATCCCATGCCTGAATGTTCACGTCCCTGCCTGGGTCCCCGTGGGAGCTGCTGCCTGCTCTCCCCGCGGTGCTGCGATGCGGTCCTTTAGAGCAGGTGACTTCGCAGCAGAAGCCTGCTCGGCTTTCTGGGCGCGAGCTTGTGTGGGATCAGCTGCGGCACCAGCTCAGGCTGCATCACCTGAGGCTGAGCTGGGGGGAGATGAGTAACCGGAGGCGAGGTGCCAGCGCTGGCAGCCAGCAGCTCCCTGCCCACTCCCTGGCCCCAGCCGCCCCCGGGATCGCTGAGCTGAGCATCTCCGCTGCTGCCACGCAGAGCAGCAGGGGAACGGTCACAGGGTGTGCGGGGGGAGGAATCACAGGGCAAAAATAGACGGTGGCGGGCAGCTGGGGAGGGGTCTGGTGGAGGGGAGCACTGGGAAACCACAAACAGGGTTAAAAAGCGAAGGGAGAATGGGAACAAAAGTCAGGTGAGTCCAGGGAGAGCAGGGGAATGGGCCTCAACGTGTGGGCTGGAAAAGCAGCTCGAGACATCTCAGCTCACGCAGGCTCCCAGGGCCTGCAGCTCTTGTGGCAAGGAGTCCAGTGGCTCAGCTGCATGCTGTGGAGCGCCTTCTGTTTGTTTTGAACCTTGTAGCATGATCACTTTGCTTAAAACCCAGTTCCTCGTATGACAGGCTGCAGTGAATAACCATTTCCCATCCACCTTGTATGCACTATTCGTAATTCCCCCCAGCATGCCCAGCCATCCTTGCAGACGGGCACCAGCACCAGCAGCACCCCAATTTCTGCCCCCTCCTTTTTACCTGGCGAGGGCAAGTTTGGGGCAAGGCAGGGGGCTGCGAGCAGAAGCAGTGAAGGCACCAGCAAACTTCTGCCCTCCCTGCCAGGGGCCGGTGCCACCACGCAGAGGGGAAGGCAGGGCCTGAGCCCCCCTCGCAGCCTCTGCGTGGGCGCGAAGGAGCTCACGGAGCAGGCAGCGAGGCGCTTTGCTGCTGGCAGAGGCAACCTCCTTCGTGAGCTGGCAACGCCTGCGATGCTGTGATGTTTTTATTTTGAATGCTTTTGCTGATTTAGTGTCACTTCTGTGGAAACTAAACAGCTCTGAGGCAGGAGTGAATTATTAATCTGCTCTGATTTCCTTCCTCTGCCGTGGCTGTGTATACAGCACCAGCTCTGCGCTGCGATCGCTACTGGAGGGCTGCCGTCCTCAGAAACACGATGAGTAGAATCCTTTGGAGTCGTAACTTGTCCGAGCACCAGGATTGTCTGTTTTTCCTCTTCCTAGTGGAAAGGTTTCATTAAAAGGCTTCCCTCCACAGCACTTGCACAGCACACGACTTACTCCTAGGGATTCCCTGGGAGCGTGCTTGCATTAAGCATGAGCAGCACAGGGAGGGGAGAGAGGAAATAAGTCACTTATTCAGACAGTGGATGAAAGCGCAGTACAGAGTTAAATCACCTGGGGAAAACCTTCCTTGTGTGTATTCTTTACGAGCAATTCCCAAGATCATCCTGCCTGCTTATCTTATTTATAAGACGTTGTCTCTGTCCTTGCATTTGTTTCTGCTTCAACTAAAGAAAAATTCAGTTTCACTTTTCTCTACAGCTGCTTTGTCTTACAAGTTCGCAGTCACTGTGGTTATAATTTTTTAATTGAAATACAAGATTGCTTTTAATGCGCTAAACAGCCTCGGCCAGATTTGGGCTCTGCAAAACGTGCTTTGTGTTTTTGGTTTTCGTTATCTGTTTTTCAGCCAGACAGGGTTTCCCTTCAGTCTCTCCTGGATAATGCTGGAAACGAGAGCTGGCAAAGGATAAGGTGAGAGCGATCGCTTTGCTGTGCTCCTGGGAAACAGCCACCTGAAGGATGTCTTGTGGGGAGCTGCTGTTGCCTCTCTGGGCCGAGGGGATCTGCTTCTTTCCTGCTCAGACCTCACAGGGTCTGTCCTAGCACCTGCCACGTCAACCTTTTAAATAACCTTCTAATGTGACCGCCTCACAGCTGGCTCCTACCTGTGCCGTTCTGTTTGGTTGGCTGAAGTCTGAGAGCTGAATGAACGCGAAGCCTGATGTGCTTCCATTCTCTCATCTCTCCAAAATAATATTTTTAGCTGATCCCAGAAGATTTGAAACAAAACAAATGCATGCAGCAATATTCTAAGCTTGCCTAGATGCAAAGCTAAAAACTGCAGCTTGCTGTCATGCGCTGTAGGAGAGGAATTGAGTCAACTCATCTTTTCCAAAAAACATGCTTTTTTTTTTTTTTTTCTGTTGTGTGGGAGGAGGAGAGAATTAGTTATTCAGTGGAACGAGGACAATTAAAAGCAAACGCAGCTT